ACACGAACAAAGGAAGTGCTCAAACAGTGGCGAAGACTACGGTACCAACAACAACAACAACAACAGCGTCATATGCACTGCTTTGTCGCAGGAAATGCATGCATTCATAGGCAGTGATTTTGTTCACACACTTCTCCTCTCACAATAGGATCACCCACTCACCCACCTACTTCCTCAATGTGGGTTGTCATCTCCTCTCTCAAGTGCTATTGCCATCTCCACCTCCCCCCTCCCCCCTCCCTCCTCCCTCCTCCTACTTCCTCTGTGTTGTTCCACCTGACTATCCTCAAATTAGCAGCCCTTCCCTCCCTCACTCCTCCTATGCTGTAGTTGTGCTGTGATGAGTGATGGAGTGGTGTTGTCACCGACCTTGACTATGTGGCGCGTGCTATGGGGGTTTGTGGGGGCAGGGAGGGAGTATTGTCTCTACATCAGCCAGCACAATGTGTGCAATCGTGGCAAGTCATTCCACAAATCGCGTTATTTTGCAATCGGAAGGGCATTGGTGGCAAGCAGAAGCATCTGCGACATCTTACAAAGGCAACAGAAGTCGAATTGCAATTGCTACCAAAAACTACGCGAATGTGGATTTGATCATGCAGGACAAGTCGTGCCAGTACACACCAGTACACACACAGGTGAGTGTGTCCACATGTGTGTATGTGTGTGTGTGTGTGGTTGAGGGTGTAATCGAGGCAGCCGAAATTCGCCTGTCGTTGTGTTGTGGGACGCAGAATCCCAGTGCGTTGCATCCCCTTTGAACGCATTACACAATGAAAAACCTTCGCTCAAATGATTGCATCAATTCACACATAAAACACCTTGCCTTCATTCTCACCTTCCCTCCTTCCTTCTATCTTCTCCGGCAAATATGAACGAGGTCACGACTACGCACATGCATACGAAGACACACATGCACATGCACACACACACAAAAGGCGTAAAAGTGTTTGCAGCAATGTGAGCAAAGTGGAGGCGTGCGAGGGGGACAAGCGTGAGTTCATTCCCAAAAGACCAGCACCCACATTACTGCAGCGAGATAGAACAATTGCACAGGAGGCAGTGGTGTCAGTCAGCATCATCGCCTCAATGACGCCTGCATACCCACCGTTAGAGACAAAGGCATTCGACCTGGGTGGATCAGCAGCATCCCAACCAATGCTACTTCACTCCTTGCAC